TAGAGCCCTCGGATAGGGGTGGGGGGAGAGCAAGGGCCAAGCTAGCAGAGGTTAGAGGCACTAGCAGAGCTAGTTCCCACCAGCTGAGCCTGGTGAGAGGAAAGTGACGGCAGCTGGGAAAACTGGGAAAGAATTAGAGTTTAGTCAAGTCAAATGAGCACCTCTTCTTGGAGGCACCGATTATTATTTCCAGTCAATTCAGCAAAAAGCAAGTAAAGTACTGTTCAACTAACAACCAGGAGAGCATATGGAGTCTACCACTGCCCTAACAGAGGACTTGGGTAGGAGACAGCACCAGCCCTGATTAAACAAGGCAGATGAGATGACTCAGGGAAGCTGTGAGCTAACTCAGACCCTGCCAGCTCAGCGCCAAGGACAGCTGTGAAGGGAACAGCAGGTACCCATTCTCAGCACCCACATGGAATAAGCTGAAGGTGCTAACCCTCGGGTTATAAATGTCTCAGTAAGAGAGGCTGCCATTTCACCCCCTGCACTAGCTGTCTCAGGAGGACTGAACGCCTTGACTGCACTTAGCCAGAGGTTCTCTCCAGGAGACAGCAGATACTTAAGCCATACCCACTTCAAGCTTTACCAAGTTAAGGATTTAAACAGAAGACCTCACCACACAAAGCTGACAAATCTACTACTACCTTCTGCATCAGTAAAGCCAGTGCCATACTAGACATGGAAATGAACTGTGCTCCACAAGACAAATACTCTGTGCAGGCAGGTACAAAGGACAGCTGACAAACAAGAACAGCAAGATAAGAGATCTGTCCCCAGCATCTCTGAGTTTGCTGATCCAGCCCCTGTGAAAGCGAGCTGCAAGGGCTGTCCTTCAGAGCTCTGAACAGCCAGCAGCACCCTCCTGTGACACACTCCTGCAGCTCCCAGCCTGTTACTCTGCTTGAAACCCAAGAGCTGCACTTGTCCCTGCAGCAGCTCTCATGTGGCATGCACAGACTCATGCATCTCCCAGATGCCCTGAAGGTCTATCCCCTCTACCTGATACGGCCAAGCTTCTGCTGGGTGCTCCACACTTCTATCCCAAATTTGCCTAAACTGTAAGATTCTGCTTTGTGGCTGTTCAGCAGGTCTAGCACATGAGAAAGGGGGGACAATCACTTCCAAGCATTTTGCAGAGGCAGCCTCTGATCCACCACAGCATCATTAAACTCTGCAGAAAAATCATGTCCAGATGAGGCCAGAACAACTGAGAAAAAGTAGAGAGCTGGACATATAACATGCCACTGTTGGTGAACACTTCATGTTTCCAGCACCCTAAGTAATGCTCGGTGTCTTTATATGCTTCTGGGTTCGGATCATGATGGCACCCCACCTGGCATCACCTGTAACCTCTTCTTCATGCTAGCCCTCCTCAGCAGGAATTACAAGTTTTGCTACAGGTAGAATAGCAGTGTGATCACCTTACTCTATAGAGAAGTTGAGAGCATGCTTTCACCTCCCCTTGGGAAGCTGATTACAAGTCCGGGCCGTGCAAGTATCCTCCTGCAGCAGGTTTCTAGAAGAATAGTAACATGCTGCTTGGTGCAAAAGATAGTTGTTAGCCCTACTCTCATTTCAACCCTTTCCCTGTCATCTCTGTCCATTCTCTGTTCTCCCATCAATTCTTCTCTGATTCCTCCTTTGGCAAAGGTAATCTGCTTCTTCAAAAACTAAAAAAAATATTGGTGTCATTCTGGCTGCAGTAGGACCTGTTATACCAGCATATACACACTTACCTTTCCCCCCACTTACACATATTTTGAAGATACCTTTCTAGCTGCCCTCCATCATTTAATACTAGAACAGGAAGGTCTCTTCTTGCTGTTTCAGCAAGCCTGTGAGGCAGGAAAGGTGCCTGCAGAGCACCTTGCACACTGGGCTGTCTCAGTCAAAGCCGTCTAGTGGTACTACAATACTTAATAAAAATACATCCTCTGTTGCAGGTAGCAACAGCATTTTTCAGTCTGGTTACTCTTCACAGTGAGCTCTTCATACATCAGTTTCAACACTCAGTTCTCCTCCACAGATCCCAGCAGCAAAGCTTGCCCATTCCAACAGTAGGTCTGCCACTGGCCATCAAACCATCCAGTGCCAGATTTTGGGTGGAAGAGGTGTGACTATAAAGCAGTCCACCTTGAAGTGTTGGCTTTGAGTTGTCTTAATTCAATCAGTTGCAGACACATGGTTTGATAGTTCCTCCTCTTGTTGACCTGTGCAGTAAAGCAACTTGACCTCACAGAGACCAAGAAAAAGGCCATGGCTCAACTACCTTCTGCATCTGATTTTCCATCTCTCTGTCACCAGGCAAAACTTTACAGAACTATATCCACCCACATCTCTCCCAAGGCAAAGGGTGGATTCAGAGCCTGCTGACAAGCCCCACACATGTTCTCCTCCCACAGCTCTCCCAGAGCACAGCATGGAGTGACAGCTTGCCAGCCTGTGTATTCCTCTTTACTTCTCCTCCAGTGCTACCTGTTTAGCAGTGTTCCCTGGTTTCATTTTCCTAAACAGAGATCCTCAACTATAATGAACTTTCACTGCTTCCCACCAGGGGCTGCCTCTGCTAGACCACTTGGGCAGCAACAGGTCGTCCTGTGCAGAATCAGAGCTCAGACCATGCGAGGAGTTATGCCGCAGTTGCTGTCATGGTAGTATTTCACTGCTTAAAGAAAGTGGGAAAAGTTACATTTTCCACCAGTACTTCCCCTGCACCAGCCCTGAATCTACAAAGGTCTTAGCACTGACATCTAGTTCTTTGTCTTTTTCACTGACATTTATTTCTTGTGGACTGTTGGAATACAAATGAGATGCACAATCTCCATGCTGCTGGTGAAGCACTTGGTGTTTCTAGTTATGGCATTCACCTTTCAGCTCCTCTATCCTCCCTGGCAAGGCCTCCCAACTGTTCTAAGTGCTGTTCTGCGATCACTGAGCATCCTCTGTAACAGCAAACAGGGAAGGCAAGGAGGTGTTAAGGTCCCAGACTAGCTCTTCAGTTGCTGGGACAGAAAGGACAAGAATAGGATCAAGGAACACCCAGTAAGATGGTTTCAAGGTTCAGCCCCATTCCAATCCTTGACAGAGGCAGAGGACAGCAGCAGCCCAAGAGTTCCCCTCTGCCACTATGCTGTATGCTCAGCAGACCACAAAACCCCTGTCTTCCTGGACCACTATATTCAGACAGAAAAACAGACAAGATGCACATTAAGAATTGGAATATTTGAACTAACCACCTTCAAAGGCAACTTGGCCAGCTGACTAAATATTGCACTTCACAAGGGTTTCAGCAAAGGACTCCATACCTGACTCTAGACCAAGCTTGGTCATGGCCCTCCAAGAGATCATGTAATTTTTGCACTGTCCACTTTTCCTTCTGGGAAGCAAAGGTGCTTCTCAGGTTTTCAGATCACTAAAGAAAAGACAAAAGAATAATAACAAAATTCAAAAAAGCCCTTTCTGCCTTGTATCAAACACTTTGTGCTCACTTGTTTAGCACGGACATGGAGCTACCTTGTGCCAGGCTACACTCACAGCCTGTTGTTTCTTCAAAAGCATTTCAGCAACCTAGACATGAAGTGATCTGTGTAAGAGGCTCCTGTAACCATCAGTGCTTCAGTTCCAGTGCCTTTACCTTTACTACCTTCTAGCTTATTGATCTGCTCCTGCTAGAGCGCTTCCTCCTGCTTCAGTCAACTCACAACTGAGTGAGGAATTCAATGATCTGAGCAGAAGGGCAAAACCAGATTTTCTATGAGAATATTTTAGTCCAGGAAAGTTAGTAGCCTGGTTCAGCTTCAGAAGATGGAAAAACAGGGAAATCTGGAGAACAAACCTTCATTCTAAACAATACTGATGGGACCCTTTTGCCCTTTTCCTGCAGAGGGCACAGATACAACAAGAAACAGCTCTTGGGGTTCTAGAAGATATAAGGGAACTCCACAAACAAAGAAGTTTGCATATCTGAAGTAGTTCTGTCCCCAAGAACTTGCAGATCTGTTGTCCTGACACTTCATAAAACTCAGGGCTAATGGCTGGAGAACACTGCACAAGAACCATAAAGGTTACGTTAAGCTGCTATAAAGATAAGGGTAAGGAGATTCAAATCTTAGGCTTGGTCACCAGTGTGGAAATGTGTTGGTAGGGAACAGGGAAGTTGCAAAGAACACAAACTTTCAAACGTGGAAGGTGAAAGGATTATCAGCACTGAGGCCTTTCTTTTAGTGAGCAGCGTCCACCCACACAGGAAGGTGGAGCTTTCAAACTGCATGATGAAAGAAAAATATGCACAATACAGAGTGCTATAGCACAGATGGGCACACTGTGCAAGCATGGTAGGAAAACTTGCTCTTAACAGAGGCGATCTCAACAGAGCCCTCAAACCACCCTGGTTTTCTGGGACAGCTGCTGGCTCCATTGTTGCCTCGCTGTGGCGTGGGAGACGCACGCAGGTGAGACGCGGCTGGTGGGTGCCAGGCAGGCGCTCTCCATCGCAGCATTCTCAGGGCCTGGTTTGTCAAGATGCAAACCCACTGCAGATCAAAAGCAACAGATGTTACCAGGGGCTGTGCGGGAAGGAGCTCACCTGGGCCTGCTGCATCGTTAAACTTGCCTCAGCTAGCGCCTCGGCCCCGAGCTTAGAAACGGGCCAGGGCGTGCGCGTCGAGATACCGAAATTCTACCCCTTCCCACCCGAGCGACACGACCGCAGGCGGCCATCGGAAAGGGCAGGCCTCTACCGCTGTCTCTTATACACAT